GATGTGTTAGCTAAGCAAGGGGTAAATAGGGAAGAATTGTTTTGGGCTCAGTTGTGGTTCTTACTTTTCTTTCCTAGTTTACTTGTAAGATTCAAGGAGGGGCTGCAGCTCGCGCCTCTCCCTGGGATGTTGTATGAACTCACTCTAAATCTGCTTCTGAATTAATAAATTTATTATCATTCATCAAAAAAAAGAAAAGAGTATACTGCTATAATTTCCCTTCGCCAGTTCCTGAATAGCCCCCCAATACCAGATGGGGCCAGGGTTGCCCCTGCTGTATCCATCAAAACTAAGCTTGATGGTGTTTGAATCAGGGGGTTCCCAAAATCTGCTGATGACATGAGTGGCTAAATAGGAATTTACAACCTACTGCTATCTATTGAAATACCATCCAAGTTAAAGTGGTGAATGAGTTGCATCTCATGAAATCAAAGTTGTTTACAGATAATATTTAGCAAAAGACAAATGCATGCAGCCCCGTAGGCATAAATAGGAATTTTATGTTGCTTCTGATTAATGCTTCTCATTTAACAGCACTTGCATTACATTTGTGCTTGAAATAACATCAAGTTAACAGAACCCCTGTTGCTCTTTCTGATCAAATTAATCATCTGTCTGTTTAATTTTTCAGGTTACCAGTGAGCTATGTATTTCTAGGAGTAATGCATGGTTCCTGAAAAGTGGTGATGGAAAACCTTGATATTTTTGTCAGCCCTCTAAATTGACCACAAATTCTTTTTCCAGGTAAAATTCTAATCAGATTTATTAAATATGTGTATGTTCTTGGAGTATTTCTAAATGTCAAGCAATGTCAGTTCTCCAATAAATCTGAATCCAATAAGACAAGCATCATTAGCACAGTTATTATTGAAGTGGATCATTGGACTGATGAGAAATCAGGTAATGCAATATAGATGTGGTTTGGAAATGGTGTATTATAATGAGCATATTGGTAAGTAGATACAGTGCTTCTGTCATGATTTGGGTGCTATCAAGCTTATTTTTATGATCTTTAGGAACCTTGGTCGGGTACAAGTGAACCTTAGATTGATCTTCTCTCTTGGCTTTGGGAATCTTAAAGTATATGGGGATCCTAGGTAGTCACCATGTAGATGCAAGGTTTTATGACAGCCTTGGAGTCTGAGACATCATAAGGTGAGAGCAATGGATTTCAGTGTGTAACATCTGACAATAAGCTGAACTGAAGAGTCTAACACAAGGTTTCAGGGGTGTCAAAGAATGAAATTGATCCCCACCCCAAAGAGCCTTTATTATATTATGTATATTTGCAAGTAAGCCCTTATGGGGCTAATAGATTATAAGAAAGCCCTTATAGTGCTGAAAGAAAAAAAAATAAAAGATTAAAATAACACAATACAGCAGGGACTATAATAAAGTAGAATACATTAATACTCTCCACAACATCTTTGGCAAACAGCCTTACCAGGGGTGCAGTGACAAGTCTACTAGGTAGTTCCTTAGGTACCATAACCATATTTCCTTAATAATTATTCATAATTTTCATAAGAAAAGTATAAAGTTCATGTTAAAGTACAGAAAATCAACATATTCATGAGAAGAAAAAGAAGAAAGAAAAGAAATTTGAAAAAATATAGGGGCTGAACCCTTTATCTTTGTTATAGGAAAGGAAGAAAAGAAAAGTAGAAGGTATGGAAGATATGGAAGAAAAAGTAGAAAAACAGAAAACAACAAGAACAAGATATGGAAGAAGAAAATGCGCTGATTAGACAAAATATTAAGTTTTACCTTACTTTCAGGTTTTGAAGTCTTTGAGGGTTCAATACAGCATTTAGCAATGTTTGTGTCGATTGTACCTAACAAATAAGAAAATAAAAAGAATATATAAGCACACAAAATGAATATTTTACTTTAATAATGTCTATTTTATAATTATAATCTTGAAAAATAAAGTATAAAACTGCTTGCCAATTAAGCAAGGTGAGCCTCCAAGGTTGTCGTGTCACCTAGGTGCCTGCCTAGGTGTTGCCTTGACTACTATGCCTATGAATTTAACATATATACATGGGAGATATTCCCAATGTACGGTTGGTAAGGGTGCTCATGGTTCAGTTAACCGAATTTGTGGGACTGTTTTCTCAAATCAAAACGGTACCACAGGTTTTAAACCAAAACCAATTGGTTAACTGATTGATCAGTTTGGTTTTTTGCCAGTTCAATTCTTCGGTTTTTTTAATTTATAATATATGTTATAAATAAATATAATTATATAACATAAATACTAAAAATATATGTAATATATTATATTATCAATAATATATGACATTATATATTATAGATATGTATTTATATATAATGCATATCTTTATATTAATAATTAATACATAGTATATATGAAAAACATATACCTGGTCAGTCCGGTTAGTGGCCGGTTTTTCATATTGGTTAACTGGATTTTTTGGTTCAGTTTCATCAGTTTGGTTTGGTTTTTTGGTTTTTCAGTTTTTTATGATCACCCAAGGTTCAAAGTATCATTTCGGAAGCTCCCTGATACGCCCCTACAGGGGGTGTATCAGGGTTCTGACCAGTTCAGGGGGTGGAGGAGCCTTAAACCGCCCCCCCTGAACTGGTTTTGAAAAAAAAAAAAAAAGTACCGTTAAGGCCAGATATTTCCCTACCCGCGTATTGGGTGTATCAATATTTTAAACCTTGTGATCAACCTAGTGGTTGGATTCCATATGCGTGGAGTTTTTGCTTTAAGGAAATCCAGGCTCTCCTAGCACCCACTCTCCCAAAAAAACCAAAAAAGAAAGGCGATATTCTAAATTGTGGTGAATGGGGGCAATAGTTTCCATTGGATGTGGAACTATCCACTCCCCCTCATCTCTCTCTCTCTCTATATATATATATATATATCAAATGCACCATAACTCATACACTTTAAGCCCATGACCCACCTGTCTCTTTTCATACTTGGCATAATAGCACATCAGACTTCTTTCTTGGATGCCTCGGATATTGAGAGAAAACTTTGGCTGTTTGGGAGCTTCCTGTGACTCGTTACCATGGGTGTGGGGTAAAAGAATACTTTGCAACCAATGTTCTCTTTGCAATAAAAGCAAGGAACTGAGTGGGGTAGCATTTCATGCATCGGAAGCAGAAAAAACAGCCCAGGTTTTTTTTTCAAACAGCCAAAGTTTTCCACATATTGATGGTTAGTTGGCAAGTTGTGCCCCAACCTACGTGGCTAGGCCTGTAATGCAAGGACAAACAACCAAAGCTAGACTTAATGCTTGATGAAGAGATGGCGATGTTGAAACTCATGGAAATTGAATTACACAAATTGGAACGTTTCCTTTTTATCATTATGGAATGGAACCTGAATTTTACAGTTTGTATCCAGTATCCACTAATGCCTTTCGTACTATTCCCTTCCTATCTGCCTATATTTTTGCATACTTCGAAGTTAAGTTAGCTTCTATTCAATGTCAAATTTATAGTTGATTACATGTATGTGTTCAAGAGACAGCTGTAATAACCGTTCGCACGAATTCAACATGTGTCTAATAGGCCCCCTCAAGTTGGAGCACAGGGTGGAACAATGCCCAATTTGGGAAGGAGAAGATGAAAGGAATCCCGTCCTAAGGCTTTTGTGAAGATATCGGCTGGTTGCAGATGTGGAATGTAAGCAGTAGTAATGTCGTGGGACTGAAGGTGTTGTCTGACTTAATGACAATCTATTTCGATGTGTTTGGTGCGTTCGTGAAAAACGGGGTTGGCTGTTGTGTGGAGAGCTGCTTTGTTGTCGCAAAACAGTTGCATTGGTTGGGAATGAGTGAGGCCCAGATCATAAAAAAGACGTTTGAGCCAAATAAGCTCACTAGTAGCAGCAGCCATGGCCCGGTATTCAGTTTCGGCAGATGAGCGTAAAACCGTTGATTGCTTCTTGGTTTTCCACGACAAGGGGGAAGAACCGAGAGTAGTAAAATATCCAGTGGTGGATCGTCGAGTAGACGGGCATCCAGCCCAACCAGAGCCACAATAGGCTCGTATAGAGAGATCACAAGACGATGGTAGAAGAATACAGTGGTCTGGAGAAGATTTCAGATAACGGAGGACGTGCATGGCTGCATCCAAATGTTGTTGTCGTGGATTGCCCATAAATTGGCTGAGCATATGAACTAAGTAACAAACCAACCGTCTATACTGATTTGGATTGGTTATGGGAGATCCAGAATCCGGTCCAAGATGATGTTGTTGCTGAATAGGAAAGGCACTTGGTTTACACCCAAGCATACCAGCTTCTTTGAGGATGTCAAGAGTGTATTTTCGCTGGCTGATAAAATTTCCTCCATTGGAATGAGAAACCTCAATTCCTAGAAAGTAACTTGGGGGCCCAATGTCTTTTATAGGAAAGCAGCTACTAAGATAGCTCTTGAGTGTTGAGATGTTGATTGGGTCATCACCCGCAATTAGTAAATCATCCACATATGCCAAGACAGCCATGAAACTCTCGGATTGGCGCAAAGTGAAGAGTGAATGGTTAGCAGAGGATTGAACAAATCCACGTTGTTTGAGGGCATGCGCTAAGGTTTCAAACCAATTGCGTGAAGCCTGTTTAAGTCCATAAATGGACTTATTTAACTTGCAAAGTCGTGTATCACTTGAAGAGAGAAGACCTGGGGGTGGTAGCATATAGATATCTTCATGTAGAGTACCATGTAAGAATGTGTTGTTTATGTCCATCTGATGAAGGGACCAACCTCGAGATGTGGCCAAGGCTAATAGGCAGTGTACAGTTACGAGTTTAGCGACCAACGCATAGGTGTCAGTGTAATTCACACCCTCAGTTTGGGTGTAACCTTTTGCAACGAGTCGAGCTTTGTAGCGCTCAATGCTTCCATCAGGCCGGCGCTTGATCTTGTATACCCATTCATAGCCTATGGGTGTCCAGAGCTTGTAATTCAGCCTGCATGGCTTGTCACCAGCACTCATGGCGTTGAGCCTGTATGTAAGAAGTAGGTTCAAGGGTTCCATCAATAATTTCAGAAGTATGAGAAGCCAAATCTTTTTGTGTAGTGAGGTAATTTGATATGGGGTATGCTGGACCAGAAGCAGGCCGTGTTTGGAGAGGACAAATGAAGTCGTTAAGATGAGGTGGTGGTTTGCAGACCCGAACAGGCCTATTGGTGATGGTCCCGATATCAGATGAGTTGTGAGACCCTGGTTCACTAGAAATCTGATTATCAATTTGAGTAATTGGTAAAGCATCAGACCTGTTAATGGCTTGACCATTAGTGACAATATCAGGCCCACAGTTAGGGGATGTAAGTGGGGATTCCAGTACGTCATCAGAAGCTGGAAGTGGAATTACCAATGAGTTTCTTGTATCAGCTGCCTCAGAAGATAGAAATGGGAAGCTTTGCTCGCAAAAAATTACATCCTGTAAAACAAAATTTTGCTTGGTGTTCAGATCATATAGTCAATAACCCTTCTGGCCATGTGGATAGCCGATAAACACATATCATCCTGAATGAGCGGAAACTTATCCCTATCGTGCTTAGAAGTGCTTACATAGTACAAACACCCAAAGTTCCGCAAATGTTGATAAGAAGGTGTCTGGTTGTGAAGCATCTGAAAGGGATTTTTGTCGTGGATTACTGAAGAGAGTTGATTGATTAGGTAAGCAGCTGTGAATATGCATTCGCCCCAGAATTGGATGGGAAGCCTAGCTTGAGATCTCAATGCCCTTGCCATCTCTAAGAGATGTCTGTGCTTCCTCTCTACGGCACCGTTTTGTTGAGGGTGTCTACACATGTTGCATCATGTAAGCTTGAACTGGACCAGACGTGAACTCAGCTCCATTGTCAGATCTCATGCATTTAGCAGTGGTATGATATTGGGTTTCAACCATTGCAAAGAAGAAAACAATAAATGCACAAGCATCAGATTTACATTTCAATAGATATACCCAGGTTGCCCGAGAAAAATTGTCAACTATTGTAAGAAAGTAATGAGCACCGGTGTGCATAAACACCGAGTCCATATAAGAACATATTGGAGTCATCTCAAGCATCTTCTTGAGAGACGAGTGCATAAACACGTCCAATGCTGGGCAGCAGATCCATGCCGAGTATACTTGATCTGATCGTGTTGAGTCGATCATCGAGTCCCAGAAGAAACTGATATACTTGTTCTTTCTCCTTATTTGCCAAGAATTCCTTTCTTGTTTCACCGCACGAACACATTGGAGTCATTGTGTATGTTGCGAGTTCATCCCAAATTGCTTTCGTCTTGGTAAATTAGATGGAGACCGGCAAGTTTTCTTGTTGTAACAAGATCATTGAGTCCCAAATTGCTTTTGTCTTGGTATATACGCAGGGCATTTTCTTGCGAGAATCTTTCCTCCAAAGTCAAGCCAGATTTTACGAGCATTCTCCACATACGCAATGCTCTCGGGCCAGTGCAATTAAAATCCAAGAGATAACCATCAACTTGCATTTCTTCCAAGCCAATAGCTCAACAGTTTTTGAGAAGTCTGGTTTCTCGATGGATGAAACCTACTTTGTTCTTGGCCCAGAGTGCATTCTCCATCATGGCTCGTTTCCAAGGTAGGGTAGTTATCCCCTGTTAAAGGGCACGAAACAAGAATCGTGTCCGGGTTATCAGACGGGTGGAGGTAAAATGGTGACACTGGATCGGCAAACTTTTCACCGCTGCTGAAGCTGTCCGTCGCCATTGATCTCCAACCAAAGAAAATTAACGCAGACGTTCAAAGGAACTACGATCGAGGACAGAGGCTTTCCATAGCTCTGATACCATATAAGAACAGAGACTATGGCTCGAAGAAGTTAAGTAGGCTTATATTCAATGTCAGATTTATAGTTGATTACATGTACATGTGTTCAAGAGACGGCTGTAAATGACAGCTGTAATACCGTTCACACGAATTCAACATGTGTCTAATAGTATCCAGTATCCACTAATGCCTTTCGTACCATTTCCTTCCTATCTGCCTTTATTTTTGCATACTTCGAAGTTGACTATTTTCTTCTCTTTCTGTATCCTTGGGCAGTTCTATGAGACATCTGGAGAGAGTTCAATTTTTCTGATCTGGTGCAAGTGATCCATGCGATCTGTACAAAAACTGCTTGCATACAAACCAAATTTCTGCCGGAGGTAAGGAATTTCTTTTCAAAGAGTTCACCAGTACCAGGCAATCCAACTTCCAATTGATTTAGTGGATTATTAACCTGTGAGCACCCTCTCTACTTGTTTGATGCTTGCAGACATTGTTTCAAAGAAAGTTTAAGATGGTCACGTTTAATGATAATCCGATCAATGCCAAGCACGAGTTGCGTAGCCGATACAAGTTCATCTTTCAGCACACAACAATAATACTCAACATTGGGTCCCACAATATTTTGGATGTGCATTATAATTTATAAGATGTGCATCATAAGATCTTGCACGAAGATACCAATGCGATGCCGGGCTGGGATAACTATGAATAGATCATAAATAAATACTTGAGAAACATAAAACTCAAGTTAATGTGATCGCTAGGATACACTAGGTTACGTTTGGTTCGAAAGAAAAAGTAGGGAAAGGAAGGGAAAGGTAGGAAAATCATTACTAACATTGTATAGGTTTTCCTGCCTTTTCCTTCCTTTCCTTACCTTTTCCTTCTAACCAAACATAACCTTTAGAAATGTTAGAAATGGAAGGACTGAATGTGGCTAAAAATGGCAACGGGGTGGGGCGGGGCCTGATTTGCCTATCCCGTACCCAACCCCGAATTTAAATTCCTTGCCCTAAAGCTTGGAAGGGCTAAAAATCCTAACCCAATCCCTGTTTCTGCAAGGATCAGGGATCTCGACTTTGCCCCGCTTCATTCATTCTTACTAGAATACTTGTTAATTTATTTTTTATCTTTTTGAAACCTACCTAGAATTATTTTATATTATATAATATAGTATAATATAACATATAATATTATAATACAACATAATATATATTAGCATATATTAATAATTATATATATAATGTTTTTTAATGTAGGCAGGGCAAGGTGGACAAATACCGTCCCTGACCCCAAAATTTCGGGTTTTCCTTGAACCCCAGTTAGTGGTCAATAAAACCCACTCCAATCAGGGTGGGCCCCACAAGGATGGGTGAAATTGCCATCACAAAATGTGACAAGTGGTTACTCGGTCAAGGGTCTCTAGTCTGGCTCTTAGGGGAGACTTGGGATGGATCCCGCCTAAGGTGCATAGGCCATTAAGCAAATAAATAAATAAAGGTAAAAGATATAAACATACCTAAGTTTTCATTAATTGATTTAAACATAAATTAAGTTTTTCAAAAAGACTAATATACATTGTGGGGATTGTGGGCTAAACCCCACAATGAAAAGACACATATCAAGTCATTTAAAATTTTAAAAATCCTATTTTGTCCTTCTAAGAGGAAGGTGTGAGGGGAGAAGAGAAAAAAAAGATGGCCAATGGTTTACCTAACAAAACAAGAGGACAAAGGAGAGAGAGTTTAAAACTTGATTCAAGTTTTGAAAAATGAACGTGTTTTAAGTTCTAGATTTTTTTTTTAAATGCATATTACAAGTGTGTGTTATCATATTTCCCTATTTTGCATTGTTTCTTTGATTGGTTGGATCTAAAACAACTTTCATGCTATCAAATCTGGTCATGTTGTAAGGCTTAGAAGGATAAAAGAGTTTGAAATTTTCAAGGTATATTTTGAAGATTTACATGAAAATGAAGGATAAAAGAGCCATAAGGTATATTTGTCTTTTTCAAAAACTTAGGGAATGTTAAGTCTTTTACCCATATAAAAAAGGACAAATTTCTTAAACTACCCTTATGGTTTAGTTAAGGGAAAATTCCCGATCAGTACCCTGTACTTTGGCTTGAATGACAATTTGGTCTCCAAATTTTAAAATGCGACAATCCAGTACCCAAGCTTTCAAAATGTGACAATCTATTATCTGCCATTAACCAATCCGTTAATCAGCTGTTAAGTGGCATTTGAAAAGTCAAAAATGTCCTTCAAACGCCATCTATTCTCTTTATCAACCACCCAAATTCTAGATTCTTCTAAACAGTCACCAACTTCTTTGAACAGAAGAGGTTAGGATTTGGGGCTGTTTAGTTTTTTTTGTCAACGTTTGGATAGTTGATAAAGAGAATTAGATGGCATTTGAAGGGCATTTTTTACTTTTCAAATGTCACTTAACAGCTAATTAACGAACTGGTTAATGGTAGGTACTAGATTGTCACATTTTGAAAGTTTGGGTACTTGATTGTCACATTTTGAAAGTTTTGGTACTAGATTGTCGCATTTTAAAGTTTAGGGACCAAATTGTCACTCGAGCCAAAGTACAAGGTACTGATCGGAAATTTTCCCTTTAGCTAATTGACTAACGCTACTCTTACCATGGTTTTTAAAAACGACCCATAGGCTGAACCGGTTAGGGGTTCGGTTATCGGGTTGATCGTTCGACTTTTGACAAAAAAATTAAAAAACAAAAAATGGTCAAAACTGTTCGAACGATTAATCGCTCGGGTCAACAGTTTTGGGAAAAACTGAAACCGATTCTTGGTTTTTCCGATCCGATTCGGTTTTGAAAACCATGACCCTTCTTATTTACATATTGTCTTAGAATATCCCTAAGTTTTCTGTCAATTGTTTAAAAGCTCCTTGCCATTAACGTTGTTAAGGGAAAGATGAAAAAGACTTGCCCATTATTTTTTTTTTTTTTCACAATGCTTAATCAATCTTCTATGTATATAAGAGAGCGATAAAGCTCTCAGAGCACATCCAAACAGTCGAAAACTTAGAGTTAGGCACATAAGGTGATTTTTGAAAAGGTGGTCGTCGATGGGGTTAGGCACATAAGCCTATGTAGATGGAAAAGGTGATTTTTGAAAAAGAACTTTGACAGGTCGACTTCTTCTGAAGGGTCTTAATCTGACCTCGGAGCAAGGCCTCACCAGAACTACGTGTTCACGTGGGTCGGTCCAGAATCTAATACCTATAATATCACTTTTATGAGTTCTACAGGGAAAGGGAGTCTTACATCGTCATTTGGACCTCCACCTCCCTAATTCCGTATAGAAAAACAAAGGAAGTTAGAAGACTTCATTGTGATTGATCTTAGTTTTGATTACAGATAATATATTAACCAACGGTGTATTCGAGGTTGGACCGGCTTTTCTCAACAACTCCAACCAGGGGATTCTACTAGATGAAGATCCAGATGAATCATGGTCTGTGCTACAGGATTGGTCTGTGATGGGGAACAGATTGAATAGTGAAGTATGTAGATTGAAAGTAGGAGCCCCACAAGGCCAGGCTGTGATCGAGTTTGTTCCAGGTGCTCCATCGGGAATCAAAACTATTCAAAGATTCCAACAAGGTGATCATTATAGCCTAACTTTCATGATGGGAGACGCCAAGGACTCCGAGGAGTTAATGATTTTATTAGAGAGAGAGAGAGTGGGTGCGAGAAGGGCCGGAGGTTGAGGGGGTTTGCTGCTGCAATGAGTTGTAGTGGCGGTAATGAAACAAGGGAATGAGAGAACGAAGGGGAAGAAGGGGAGAGAGAGAGAGGTGGAGTGTTGTGGCAGTGATGAAACAGAGGGGGAGAGAGAGAGAGAGTGTGTGTGTGTGTGCGAGTGAGTGAGCAAGGAGTGAATGAGTGAGAGGGACCGGAGGTGGAGGGGCCTAATGCTACAAAACATGGGAGAGAGAACGAAGGGGAAGGAGAGAGAGAGAGATGTTGATGAAGCGCTGTCCCTTCGACTCAGCTACTAGTGAAATTGGTGTTCTCAAAGATGATGAAGAAGCTCTATGCGATCGTCTCATTCTCTTTTTCCTGCTATGCGAATGGGAAGCCCTTGTTGTCGTCAACTGAAGGGGAAGACTCGTCAGGAGCAAAAGACCATGTCTGACGACCTGCCAATGCCATCTCTCTCGTGTGTCTCCTCCTCCCTCCTCTAAAGCGCTGGATCCAAAAATCGAGTAACCACTCACAAGCAATGATTCTTACCTAGCATACAAAAGAGGGGTGAAAGGTAATATTGGATTTTTCAAAAAAAAAAAATTATACGCAATGTCATGTGCTTACGGATTTTGACAAAACATGAGCAGACGCTAATAGCAAAGGTAGAGTTAGTCAATTGTCAAAAACAGTAAGGGTGGTTAAAGACAATAGTTAAACATTAAGGCATAGTTGTAAAGGCAACATATAGGTAACAAGGCACCCTTGGAGGCTCGCCTCACTCAGTTACCAAGTGGTTTTGTGCAATATGCTATAAAATACTTTTTTATTTTTTTATTTTTTTATGACGTTATAATTATAAAATAGGCATTGTTAAACTAGAATACTCATTTTATGTGTTTATGTACTAATTTCTTTTTATTATTTTCTTATTTGTTAGGGTTTAATCAACACAAACATTGCTAACTGTTGTATTGAACCATGGTTCAAAGTATCGATACACCTCTGTGGACACAGAGGTGTATCAGTACGACATTCCCCTTATTTTTTTATTTTTTTGGTTTTTAGTTTCATTTTTAAATATATATTATTTTAAAAAATGGGTTCCCAATAACACTTGTAAACATGTTTATTGGGGCGCCAAAGATACAATACAATACACCCGATACAGGGTGTATCATATCGAAGTTTTGATCCTTGATTGAATCCTCTAAGATTTCAAAACCTGAACCAATAAGCAAGGGAAGAACTTACAATTTTGTCTAATCAACACATTTTCTTCTTATAGATCTTCTTCTTCCACCTTTTCTTTTCTTCTTTTCCTATAACAAAAGTAGGGGTTCAGTCCTTATATTTTTTTAATTTTCTTTCCTTTGTTCATTTTCTTCACATAAAATGTTGATTTTCTAAACTTAAAACACGAAATTAAACTTCTCTTATGAAAATTATGGGTAATTATTAAGGAAATATGGTTATGGAACCTAGGGAATTACCCTAAGATATATGGTTTTACTTAAGAAAAAAAATCCATCGCCTAGGCGACTAAGTTCCCCCCAATCACCTAGCTCGCCTTGGTGCCTTAAAAACCAAAGTTCAAAATATTGCAACGTATCGGTCAATACGTATCGTTCTGACAAGAATCCGATACGCAGAATGTGTATAAATCATATGTTCCATTTCTTTTCATACGTATCGACCGATATGAGCCCATATGGGCTGTTTTTTATCTATATCGACCAATACGGGCCTAATACAATCCAATACAGACCCAAAGCAGTCCGATACAATTTGGATCTATATCGTTATTCATTAATCCATATTTAATATGGAATCTCATTAATTTTATTTATTTTAAGTCTAATTTCTCTTTCATTAATTAGTCAATTACTCCAAGGCAAATTTAAATTTGAATTTGAATTTTAACGCCTAATTCAAATTCTCCCATTAATTCCTTTAATTAATGATCCCCTATCAATAATTTCATTTTGTTGTGTGTAAAAACTTCAAATTTTAGCTATAGCAAGATTCGAACCTTGGTCACTTGATTTAAAATTTTAACAACCACAAGTTTGCCAATGAGACACACATATTTGCTTGGCATGATTATATGTATTTTTAGTTTTAAGTAAATTTTCACTTTTCTTAAGGAGTGGAGTTTTTATTAATAAATGCTAGAATTAATTATTAAAATTTATATACTAATAAATTTTAAGATTAATCATATTGGTTTTTGAAAATTGACATTCACATTTTAGTTTTTGTTTTGTTTTTTACATTTTAGTTATTCCATCATTTTTTCAACGGTTACTAATTGTGTCCCAATATGTCATACTTTATATAAACCATTAAATTATGGTTTTTTACATTTAAATGACTTATTTACAATCATATAAAATTTGTAAAAATAATTAGTAATATATTTTTAAAATTTATTTGAATTTTTCTCCATATTTATGCGTATTTTGATTTTTCGTCCGTATCCATACATATCCAAAGTGTATCCCGATACATCTCTTAAAATTGTCTTTCCGATAAACCTTGCGTTTTTGATACTTTTAACCTTGTTAAAAACTATACAATAAGGGTATAGTTTGTCAATTAGCTAAATGATAGGGGAAGTTTAAGAAATTTGCCATAAAAATGAAATAACCAAATATTTAAATAGCGTTCCAATATGATACTGAAAATACATCATATCCGAAAAACTTGTGACTAATCGACCGATAACCGTGTTAAGATGGTATTTATCAAAATTCAGAGGTGGGCTTTGATTGGTCAAAGCTCATATTGTACCATGTATTTCTGGCATCATAGATTTTCCCTTTAAAATAAATGACTTTAAGTTTTATTGATACTTGAAATAGCAATTTAAAATCTCAAAAAATTTAAATGTTAAAAATTAGGGTAAAAGAGTTGAACCTCCCTTGAATTTTCACATAAATACTAAAATTTCCCCTCTATCTAGGTGATGTCATCAGACAAAGACCTCCCCTTTGTTGGTAATGTGTTAAGATTTGGTTTTTGATGCCTTTATATGTTGAAAGTACTTGAAACCACCACAAGATTTGGCAATGCAGACAAGATGTAATCTTTACAAATGGATCTTTAAACTGATCATTGCACAATTTAGGATTATAACACTTCATAAGAAAACAAATATTAGATTATTAATACTGAACTCATTATCCTCTGTCAACATATTGCGAAAATCACTTGAAACAGGACATTTGACTATCTGAGCTCAACAGTTAAAGCCAAATACCCAGAATAACCAATGTGAGCAGGTGGATAGAGACGAACGGATACGATCTGTTTTTGTTTTGAAATCATTACAATGTCTCGAAAATTTAATAACTTAACCAAGGAGAAAATAGACTTTTCAATGAATTACATTGGATATAACAGTCGAGGCATTAGTCCATTTTAAATGGTGAGGAGAGGTTTCAGCATTTTGGATAAATTTGAAGAGGTTCAAGTCTTTTACCCTAAAAATTAAAATTATCAATTGTACAAATGAGATTTTTTTATCAAATTAAGATTAAAGGTTCTTATGGTCCCCCCCCCAATACATTATCGAGCAATTTGGTTGGAATTTAAAATGTCGAACTGGGAGAACATTAATCACCAATTTAAGTTGGTACTTATCACTTCAATTAGAAATGCAGGAGTCCATTAATCTGATGGCCAATATAAGCAGCACAGGTTGAATGACACGGAAACGGGGCCATTCTGCCCGTGTTGGCCAGTCTGGAAAAGGTAATAAAAGACTTGAAACCTTGGGGGCAAGTTCTGGCCACCATAGATCCGGATGCCCAAACTCAACTGCATCCAGAACAGAAGCACTCCAGATTCAGACTCCTCAATCCTCATAACCCCCCCCAACACACACAAATGCTTCGGACTTCAGAAACGCAACCTGGTCAATTTAATATAAGAATACATAAATAATATCATCTGTAACATCAGCGTTACTACCATTATGATCACGACATAACATCAAATCTTCCTGAAACGCGACTAATCCAACCTATTTAAGAATATCTACTATTCGAAACACTAACAATAGAGAATTTTAACATTTTTGCATAATGTTACAGATATAAAGATCTAAGAGCTGCCTCACAATGATAGAGGGGGCGAACTGCCTAACCATCATAATCCCCCTCATGGAACTTATATTCTGGATAAAAAACAGCCTCAACTTGATTTCCACCAAATTTCCTGCCATTCAGTCCTTGCCTAGCCTTTGCTGATCCATCAACATCAGCATACTCCAAGAACACCTGGTAGAAAGGAAATATTTTGGAAGTGGAGGGAGGGAGGGTTCAGAGACCAAGAACAACTTCAGTATAAAGTATAAATTAGATGGAAAATAGGACAACATATTTTCTCGTTTTACTTGTGATCTTCCACAAGTGGATAAAAAGATGTGTACACAACTACATACCATTACTCAAGCTTTCTTTTTGCCTTGCAGCAAATTTTTCATACAGCATATAACATGGGGAAAAAGAGCAAGTACTAATGTCCTACTACTAACCTTTCCAACTCCAGGTGATGGTTCACCATTTGGGTTCGGGCGCGGGATGACAACATTCACCAGCGTACCTGAAAAACAAATGTTAATGTTGAAGGCTTAGAAGTTCTAATAAAACCTTAGGAGATACAACAAAAGAGTTTCTGGGTAAAGATAGATAAGGTAATGGAATCTTCTGTGTGGGTTAGGCCTGATTCTCTATAGCAGAATGTGGGACTACAAAAGGCTGTAAAACAGAAAATATAAAAGAAAAAGGATATTAATATGTGCATTAAGATTGAGAAATTTAGAAACAACAAAGTAACAGTTTAAATTGTTCACCATATTTTCCGCCTTCTCCTTTCATATCTTCCATAATGTCTTCATACTCCTCGTCATCTTTGAGTTCATCTGCACCAACTATCTGTGTCAAGCAGACAACCTTCGTAGGAAGTGCACCACCTTGAAACACAAGTCTCTGCAAAAGAGGTACCCACAATCAAACCTAAGAATAAGCCTCCTTTACTTACAATTCAAAATCAAAGAGGAAAGACATAGTATCAAACACCTAATCAACAAATTCCTCAGACGGAAACTTAATTCAAATAACTACACAAACCATGCATGTAATCAAAATTTCCAAAGATATTTTCTCAAAAGTAGAAATAGTGCATAACTTTAGTATGCAAATGATCACTAAGAACTGTACAAAGAAGTGAGGAATGGAGAGCACCTGATTTGGGAAGGCTGAATTAAATTTTGATGGATGTAGTCTTGGCAATCCATGGGTTTGAGGTGTTGGAGGAGTGATAAGAGACACAAGTAATAACCTTAGCTTTTCAAACCCAATTTGGCAAGGGAACTCCTTAAAGGCTTAAGTGCAAGTCTTAACCGAAGGCCTCAATGAATGGGTAGACCGATGTAGTATGTGTTTGGTTCCGTTTATGTTTATTGAATAAACATTTGTACTTTATTTGCTGGTAAAACCGAGATGCAATAATTGCAACCGTTTATGACAGCTAGGCACCACTAGGCTCCACATCAGCATAATAGTGAATAAACACCTGGCCATTTGTGGAAGCTTTAAAAAATAACTTCCACAAACGACTGGCATGCACAAAAACCAAAGTTCACTTTTTTCATTTTTGATGCATGCGGAAGAGCAAGAGAGAGAAAATGCTGAGATGGCACCTATGTGGCACCATCAATAAAAGTTTACTGAATAAACGTAAACGGAACCAAACACCCTCGTAGTGGTGAAAGGTGATCATAAAACAGTAATCTCTTGGATGAGGACTAAGGAGGCAATCCAATGTAGTTATAGGCCCTTGGTGAGCAAGGCACAATCTCTAGGCAGATATTTGAATAGCCCTTTAAAATAGATGCCAAAGACCACATCACTGCAAATGTATTGGCTGATTCTTTAGCAAAAGCATGGGCCGTAATGGAATGCCCAGAGTGATTACATGGGCCATAAATGAATTTGTAAAGTCTTTTTTGTTTTCTGTTTTTTGAATTTTTAGCCACAGTTATCTCTGCATCCTTTAACCTGCTACCCAGCTTTTGGGTAGTCAGGAGTTTCTGAGTGAATAGAATATATCCATTTCTGTTATTTATCAAAGTAGGAGAACGAGAGAAAGAGATAGAAATATATATATATATATATAGAGAGAGAGAGAGAGAGAGAACTGGACAACTTATGAGAAACATGTTCAAGCTGACCTTTTTTTTAATGTACAAAAATTCAACCACATTATTAAGATATAAAGCAAGACTTAACATCAATTATGAAAAAAGTAGTAGTAGAGATGCTACTTACCTGCAAGGCCACCTGCTGTTGTGCCTGTAACAGTACATTCTCCTGCTCAGGTTTGGGCTGGGAAGCACCCTGATTTGCACGTCTTACAGTGAGAGTTTTATCTCCCATTTTTATTCCATTCAGAGCCGCACAAGCAATGTCAGTAACTGAGAGGTCCTGGTAGACACAAAAGGCATATCCTTTTGAATTTCCTGTTTCCCTGTCCTTCACAAGATCAAAACCTCGAAGAGGCCCAAATGATTCTAATAGCTCTCTTATCTGTGCTTCTGTGAAGTAGTATGGGAGACCACCCACAAAAACGCGATCAGGTCCCTCAAGCCCACCAGCAGAACCAGGTGTCAACCCAACAGCAGCAAGGTTCAAATTAGGATTTGGTTGACTTGGGCCAAGTGTTGCAGCAAGAGAAGGGTTATAATCACTTGGCCTCCTCACCTTAACAGGAGCACCCTGGATAAATACAAAATAAATTCAACAGGTCAGTGGTGTTGATTCGAGATATACATGCTCGAAATCATATAGACAACAAATGCACACACAAGATAAATGTGTCCATGCTAGTGATTCTAAAGGTACACTTAGGTGTACAGGCACAGGCGTACCAAGGCAAACACCTAATGCACCTTGCACCTTATTAAAACTTGCACTTTTTACCTTTTTAAGCATGGTGACTGGGCCAGGAGAGTATCCGGACCCCTGGCCAAACCCCTTGAGGCAAGCCCAAGCATGTCTATGCTAGGGTTTAAATTCTTAAAAGATAAAGTACTATAATTAAAATTAAAATCAATCTTTTATGTATGAATTAAAATTAAAACCAACCTTTTATGTATGAACTAAGAATTCAAAACCCTAACATAGACATGTACAGGCTTGCCTCAAGGACCTCGGTACAAAGCGGCTTGTAGAATTAGGGTAATACAATTAGAATGAAATAAAGAGATTGAAAGTTTCACATGCTTGAATGTGATTTATATGTTATGTTTAATTTTATTTTTACATTTTCACTTTTAATTATGTTTTATATGTTATGTTTAGGTATTTCAATTTGATCTAATAGGCCTTTTAAAACACTAGTAAACATGTACGTGCATTTGCATGTGACGGAATCTCCAAGACAACTATTTATAATTCATGGGCAATTTTTGGACAGTTATAAGTGGGCAGTTTCTTAACTGTTATAAGTAGGCAGTTTTTGGAGTGAGAGTAAAGGACATATATGCCCTCTTTATGCCAATTGTATGCTGCTTAGATAATGGGTAGAAAATGTCCAATGAAAATTCCAGAAAAAAGGGGCATTCACTCTTTTATAGGTAGTATAGATTTAGTTTTAAATTGAAGTATGCATTTTTTTATTTAAAAACTAATTTAATATTTTTTAGTTTTTTATAATTTTTAATTTTTAGTACTTTTTCATTTTTTTGAAAAAAAAAGTGCCTCGCTTCTAAATGGTGCACACCTCACCTTGCACCTTGCACCTAGGATGCAAAAACTGCCTTGCGCTTTTAAAACACTGGTCCATGCAGATGCAGCCACTGAATTTTGACACATTAAGACCGATTTGGTTTACGAGGAAATTATTGAAACTGGGAAAAATTTCCCTGACAACTTTCCGATTTTTAATATTTTTTAGAAACCAAATACAACCTGCAATAGTCTAAATTTCTTGATTGATATAATATTAGATGTTTGAATTTCCATTTAAGAATAAGGTAAATTAAGTTTCTATTAATGGCAGGATTGCATGGCAAGCATAGTGGCTTTAGTAAATGTCACATCCTTACAGGATTTTACAATGTGGTATGAATGAAAAGGAGAATTAGGGCCATTAGACGATTATTAATTTTGTCGATTTCCTGATAATTGAGATTTTTGCCCATCCCATGGAAGGGCAAATTGCTAATATTATTGATTATCATCCCCATTTTAATGTTTTTATCATTTCATTCAATTGTACTGCAACATTATCATTATTAATCTAAGCAACTCAGCCTTTTTTGTGGGACAGGGGACTTGGAAAATAACAACAGATCAAAAGGGATGAGGATGTGGTATGAATGAAAAGGCACTCGCACTTGGTATTTAATAGTGGACATAAAAGATGTAGATCTTCTTTGTAAAGTTTTTTGCAAATGTTGAAGCATCTGGTATTAGTGACGCATTTGCTTTGTATAATAAAAGATGAAGGGGCACAAATCTATTCCACCTAAGATTTCTATCATGAAGTGAGAGTCCATTACTGTAAAGAATAAAATACGAGCCAGATATGCCCAAAATCCATCAGGAGAAAACTACAATAACAATATTATACCTCAAAAATTATACCATCCAAGGCCATAGCATTGCTGGCTTCCTCAACTGATCTCATCTCCACAAAGGCAAACTTCTTTTCATGGTTGATGTATACATTAACAACAGCATCCCCTGTAAAAAATAAAGAAAACACACACACAGGGTTAGTAATTTATTTATTTATTTCTTTTTGATGAATTACAGGGCTAGCAATTTATTAACATTTTCAAATTTAAGATGATCCTTAATTTGTAGGAGAAAGTAAGAGTACACATCCACAAACCTGGCCCAGCAGTATTCCCTCCAATTGCGGCCATAACCTGGCTGAAGAAGGTTGCTACAGACTGCAAAAGCAATTGAGATATTAGCCACCTAATTTCAACTCACAAGTCATGACAATAATGGGAACGATTAAAAATTTGCCAAAGTGGAATATACATTATAAAATATTATTAGTTCTCTAGCAAGTAACATTAACTGTGTTGACAGACATCACATGTTTTAAAATAAAGCTAAGTGCCTAACAAGAAAAACCCGCTTAAGCATATCATCAGAACCAGCAGGCAACATTTGACCACAATCCAAAACCATAATTATAACAATAACAATTCCCCATTGAACAGTTCAGATGTTTTAAATCTTAGTGCTGAGACTGATAAACTCAGGCTCCCAAAAATTCCCAGTGTTCTCTAAATGATTAAAATAAAACTAGTCAGTTCATAAAACAAACCAAATTTCCACTCGAACTTTTCATTTTCCTCCATCAGCACATGCAAATAACTTGTATCAAGTTCCAACAACCACACACAAAATTGTTTATCAAAAGCAAGTTCGCACCTCATCAAAAGAGTAATTTAATGAAAACAAAATGTATACCAGAGTACTGCTAGACAACAATTCACTCAAAAGATAGAAGTACTAACCTGTTCATTAGCCGTAGGTGGAAGACCACCAACATACACCCGGCGAGCATGTCTTGTAGCCTAACAAAATCACAAGGAAAAACCAAGTTGAATACTAAGATGCATCAAAAATAAGACGATAAAAAAAATACTAAGGAGGTAAACGGAGAAACTTTCACTTAACCTGTTGTGTCATAGCCTGAACTGGCATAACAGGGACTCCAAACTGAGATATGCATAAAAACAAATATTAAAATTTAAAAAACACAAAATATGCTTCTTCTGATCCAATGGGAAAGAGAAGTACCTGTCCTGGCAAGGGGAACATGTTTGGAAACATCCCAGGAATTGCTGGAGTGGTCCCAGGCACCTGACCTGCAAAAGTTCATTAAGTGAAGTTATAGTATAAAACTAACAACAAAATGCTGCTATTGTTATTATTGTGGTATGAATTCAATTTGCACCTCCTGATCTTCTTCACAAGTGCTCACTGATTTAAGCATGCCCTATCCTCTTGTGAACTTTATCAAAAATGTAAAAGAAATACATCATTTTCAAATACTGGAGGAAATATTTGTAAGACTACCAAAACTGGCAATAGTTGCCGGTTGAAGACGAACAAGATCCATCAAACCAGTGCATTGATTCCTCCTTGTACATAAAAGCTACAGAACTCGGCTCACGCCCATTGGCAGCACAGTGGGACAAGTAGCCCAACATTCTTCTTACAAGAAAAACATATAGACACAGAAACAAACAAACAAACACAAAAAACAAGAAAACAACCAAAAAGGCTCTCAGTTTCAGAATTAATTCACCAAGTAAATAATATAAAAAAACAGTACAGCCCATCCAAAGATTGCAGCATTAAGTTGCTAATACTGTTAATGGGAAAAATAATATGGCTTACCAAATGACACCATGCAATCGATAGACTTTCCATGCTAAGCAGAAGCAATGAAATGGAAGCAAAAGAGTGAAATTAGAAAACAGGTCACATACCTGCAGCAGCCACAAGCATTGCAGTTGAAGGAGGTGCCATGTCAAAACCACTGATCCGCTTGCTGTGGAAAGAAACCAGTTGCCAGAATGACAGATTAAATTCATGATTTGGAGAAATAATAAAGCTTCTATGAACACCAAATAAAGGTCAAGGATAATCATCATTAATGACAGAAACAGCAACCTACACTATGGTTACTCATGGAAGGAAAAATAATAGAGCACATATTTGAGGTATTTGCATGCATAAAGCATGGCATTCCTACTAAAAAAATGAATTCCAATCTTAAACAATATAGAGATATATTTACTAAGTGTTCGTCCCACGGAATAGCTAAAGCATTTTACATTACACAACCTCACTATGCACCGACTATATCAAACAAACAAATCACCTTAGTAGATGTATGTACACATGCGCACACTAAAAAAGGAAACTCATAATGGCTACGTCATCCAAATATGGCAAGTATATGGTGAGGCACAGTGTCAGATGCTAAGTTCACACTTAAAGGCTGTGTTTGGTACGAGTGGTAAGAGATCAAATGCAAATATGTTCAGTTCATGAAAATGCAACTTGGTTTGGTTTTACATTGATAAATTTTGTAGTCCAGCCAAACATATTTGGTTGCAATGGGTATAAAAACAAGTTCCAAGAGTGGAATCTACCTTTTTAATATTGACCAAATTTGAGTGCAAAAGCTTGCTTCCATTCTTTGGAAGTGAACTTTACTCTCATATTGAAGGCAAAAAAATGACAGGAAAAAACAAATTTACTTTCATTTGTAGTACAAAAATGTATTCTAACTAAATGCTTGCAAAACTCAAACTGCAGTGCAAATTTGCTTCAATTTAGCATTTGCACTCTTACCAAATGCAGCCAAATGTACAGTTGTCATGTTATCACAGAGTAGAGTTTAAAATAATAAATAGAAGTTTCTACAATGAATAACATCTTTATTCCATGTTTTTGAAAGAATATAATGCAAAGACAAGCAAGTGATTTGTTATCCTTTCTTTAACAGAAAGAATTGGTGCCAATTATCATGGAAATCAAGATCAGGTTTTAGACCCACCTTTACGCCTAAACAACAATGCCTGTAGTAGAAAAAATTGTCAAAACCAAGGGTATAAGAACTTGTAACATGCTCCTGACATGTCACCTACCACATGGAAACTTTAAATCACACCAACCCAAAAGTAAGGTGCACAAAAGAACAAAAGAAACATTGAGCATATACCGCATGAAGCAAGAAAAAGCTATTAACCTAAAAGTATTAATAGGTCAAACAAGTATCACCTAGGACACCCAAACAAGGGACACCAGCCATCTAGATTTTACTTGGATGTCATGAATGCACCAAGCTAAAAATATATTTGATACAAACAAATTTCTCAACTTCCTTTTTACACACTATGCCAACAGACAAAATATACACGAATGATGGTTTACCACACGTTGTGTATGTGGATGCAGAAAATATGAAAGTAGGGTGTCTGCTCTTGATTTGCCGTTCTTTAGTGCCCCATGTAGACCTGTTCATGGGCTGGGCTCAGGCTTGACTTTTGTCAAAATTTGAATGGGCCCAGCCAAAGCCCGAGCCCAATACAGTGGAAAGTTAGGCCCGAAGCCTGGCCCATGAACAGGTCTGGCCCCATGAAGTGGTAAAATGAATCCCTTGTGTCTTTCTAATTGGGATGCCATAAAAATTAGGGCACACTAAGCTGCAGCTTTTTCCTTAAACTTGACCAGACATGAATTCTATTGACAGCATTTACCATTCCTCTAAACCATGCACAGGAAACCTCTTCCCTTCTCACATGTTATGGGCTGATTGAATATATAACTGGTGTGAAGAATCCTAGCAAATCTAGGTCTGTCATCTTTGCAATCTTAGACACCACAAAGAAAAAAGAACATCAATTATAGCTGCCAAAAAAATAAAGACACAAAACATAGAATAGATTATGTACAAAACATACGAGGCTTCTGTTTCCACTCCCAGTAGGCACTGTAGCAACTTGGATGTGGTGCATTTACCTCTTTGATCTTGAACGAGATCGAGATCTTGATCTATGATCAGATCTACCCTGAGAACGAGATTGAGACCTATGCCTGCGGCGTCCCTCTCTATCTCTATCATAATCTCTGCGCCTGGAAATAACATTGCATTAACAAAACATAACTAGCATATGCAAAGCATTGGGACAGAAAAACACAAAAGAATTTCAGAAATCCTAGAAGTGGGTAAATAAAACCAAACCAAAAGCTGCAACATATGTGTCAACAAGAACAAGATCAATTAAAACCCCCAAAAAGGAAACATGATGTAAATCCTTTGAGGACATAACAATACTCAGTACTAAGTGGCTCCCTGAACCAGTGAAATATTTGAAAATGTGAAGCACAAGTAATGGTTTACCAAAAAAAACATTGATAAATCAAGAAATAATAAAGGTAATAGACTTATCAATACCATGGTGCTAAGCAAACATTTGATCTATAATTGATGGAACAGAGAACACAACTAAGTCCAACAGGTCAAGCCAACAAACCTACCCAAAAATAATAAAAAGTTGCAATAACTACGAGATCAACACAGCCGAACCAAGATCAGTTACAAGAAGGCAAGTGATAGGCTAGAAAAGAAAGGTGATGTTTAAAATGGGAATGGATACCAAACCGATAAAACATACAAACTTAGTTGTACCGTACCTATCATGGTCTCGACTACGATGATAGTTGTCATCATCATCTCTATCCCGTCCTCGATCCCTTCTATCACTTCGTTCTCTGTGATGATCTCTATGATGCCGATCACGATCACGATCTCTGTCCCGTTCCCTTTCACGATCTCTCTCCCTGTCCTTGGATCCATCCCTCTCCCTGTCCTTATCCCTCCCTTTTTCTCTTTCCCGTTCTCTGCTTTTTGAAGTCTCCCTCTCATAATCACGAGAACCATGCTACAAATATTCAGTAATATTAGTGAAAAAAGGGAATGCAATTATATGAATGACATGGTACAATGAATACATGAAGCGCAATCACTTGGCATCAGCATTCACTGATGGTAACTGAGGTTGCACTGAATGCAGAAAATCACGTCAGATTCATGCAAATAAAATTACCAAACCTATTAGTGCCAAGGGACTAAGAAGCAATTATAAATTGGATAATAAATGAACAAGATGGTCCTTAGTATCTTCAGCATTATGTCAAAGAGGAGGGAGATTTAATCACCAGCCTTAAAAATTAGCTATTGTTGGGTTCCCAGATCAGTCAATTCCCTTGCATGTGTGTTTTTTTATAGAGGGAGTTAATAGGCAGCCTTTGTGTTTGGGTACATACCCGATACCCCTTGCTAGTGTATCATTCCTGCTAACCTGTTAGCCTTGATTGAGCATGTGGAGAGACTAGCAGTGGAGCTAAGCCTATTGTACTTTAAGAAGGGATGAGAGCTCCCTTGTGAGCTAATAAAAACTCTGATCACCTATATGCTTGTGTTTGACTACTATGGTCAATTAATACCACTGGTTTCAGAAATTAACTAATTAAATGCAAGTTTTCAAACAGCCTATCAAAAATGAAGTCAATACCACAAATCTGTCACTATATCCAAAGGATAGAACTGCATCAAATCCCAATGCCTGACTAGTATCTCGAACAAAACAGATAACACCACTTGATCCAAAATAAACTGGAAAGGATGACAAAGGATAACAAGACACAGAAAAACGCAACAAGTTACCCTGCGGCTAGCAGTAAAGTATTATATTAGACTAGTTGTCAGATAGAATAATCCTAATGAATACAAATGCAAAGGTCTGCAAAACCTAGTCTCTAAATAAGAAACGTCAAACCTGACCGGTCAATAAGCCCTTTGAATGCTAATAGCTTCTCTTCCTTTTCCATGACACTTCAAATTTCCATGGAATAAATAAAATGCGGAAATGCAACTCAATCATTTTAAAGGTATTCCAATACAAGCTTCGTGAATAGGCAAATGAATTCTGGGCGCTTAAAGCTGCCGGAACTCCCTTTCCTTTTTATTTTGTTCTCGGCTTACGCCTCTTTTCGTTGAAAGTTCAGACAGAATGGAATTTTGTTTTTCCGCTCCTAATATGTGATAATGTGAAATTAAAGGCAATATATGGGGAAGATAGCTAATTTCCAAACCTTAAAATAAAAATCCAATATCTAGCATAAATACACATCACAATGAAATCCAGTCATAACCCTTGGACTAACGGAAGGACATGGGAGGAAAATTTCATGCATTAAAAAAATAAAAAATAAAAAAAACGCATCACCACTGTATTTACCCCCCCCCCAACACACATACACAGAACAAAAAAAATCGTTTATCGCCCCGAACCCTAGGATCCTACCCAACATCCCACACATGGGATAGAAAGAATCCACGAGCAGTTTAAATTAAACATCTAACCGAGAATACTGTGTGAGCATAGCGATACAAACAGAACTCGCGGAATCCAATACACCATCCCTCGTCCATTGAGCTAAATAACTAAATAAATAAACAGTAGTTGACTTAATTTTTTTTCTGTCATGAATCTGCGTCCTTGAATCCGTCCGTCTAAACGAAAACAAAAGAAGGAGAAAAAAACAGGCACGGAAATTTCAACCAGTAAAAAGCGGATACCTGAGATTTGGAATCGCTGTAATCGTCGGGAGCGCCGTGGCTACTGGGTCTCTGTTGAGGTGAAGAGCTGTAATCGTTCAACCCCTCTCCATTACCCTCGTATCTTTCAGCATAGTCCGGCATATTCACTTCTTTTTCTTCGATTCGACTTCTTTCACTATCTCCGCGAAACGAGTCGATGGCGGTTTTAGGGCTTGCGGACGAATTTCCCTCTTTAAATACTACTCGGAGTCGGAGCCACTCTCCGAATTCCGAAATCCTTGTGGGGCCGGTCAAGTGGTGACTGAAATTGAACAACGTCAATGGTTCGTCCGGCCTACTAAACCGGGTTCTTTTGAGCCAATTCTTCGATGATCTCGCAGAAAATTTAAAAGAAAAAAAAAATCATTTGCACACACGAAATAATTAATGTTTTTAATTTTTCATCAAATAAAAAAGTATTTGCACGTGACTGCAAATACTCCACGTCAGTCATGCCTGCAACTACTCCAGTATTTGCACGTGACTTGATTTATGACTGTATTTTGTTTTTTGATTAATCAAAATAAAAATAAAGGTATTTGCACCACTCGAAGAAAAGTATTCCTCGTAGACTAGAGAGGGCCTTGCTTCGCAAGGGGTTGAAATGGAATTGCAACATCGCTATTTGCTATATTAAAAAAGACAATGGTTTCTATAATAAAACCTGCAATTATAAGTACCCAAGTCTTTAAATTCATATAAAGACTTACAAGAGATCATCGTGTGCTCATTTTTTAAATATTGCTTCAATAAAGCATCTCATATAAAATAATATGATTATACAGTGATGGTTCTGAGTTCTACTTCATAGTTATCATTTATTTCACATCGAGAACTCTCAATTGATCCAGACAGTAAGACTGTTTGGCCTAAGAACCATCCAAGCAACCAATTTCGTTTTACCCCAAACCCGGTTTCTAACCAAAAATTGTTGAATCAGTCAATGACTCGTTGACCCGGGTTATCACTCCGTCAACCCGTTCAATGATTTTTTGCCATTTTTATTTTTAATTATTTTTTTATTTTTAAATTTTTGTTATTAGAATGGGCCATCCGTTCTAAAAATCGATTGCCATAATGGTTCCATTTTCAGGTCGTTTTTTCTATATGCCAATAATTAGACGAAACAACTTTGTAGCCATGGTCATGGGAAGGGTGGACATTATAATGGACTCCAAAACCTTTAAAGATAAATCCAAAGTGACCTTAAACACACACAAACAAAAAGGGGTTGTGAATCCACCAAATTGAAAAAAATCAGAAAACTAAGTCCACAGTTCCACTTTGAGACGGAGCTAAACATACATGCAATCAAATAAATAAACAAAGCAGACCATTTTGTAAGGGAAAAGAAAAACATTGCATAAGAAAACCCAAAGAAAAAAACAAATTTGAAAAAATAAAATGGTGGTAAACCCCTGTTTTGGAAGATATTGAAGAAGAATACCAAATACAAAAAAAAAAGCAAATGAAAAAAATGAACATACCGCACACACTCGAATAAAACCAACAGTAGAATAAACCTTTGAATAGTGAAAATCCAAAAGCATAAAAAAACCATGGTTTTCAAACCGTCATTAACTCGGATGGATGGACATTTTGGCATAGGAATTGTCCAAGCAACCGGTTCCATTTTACCCCAATCCCTGTCCCTGGACAAAAACCATTGAATCGACAAACGACCCATTGACCCGAGCGGTCGAATTGTCAACCCGTTGACCCATTCAATGGTTTTTTTATCATTTTTTTATTTTTTAATTGGGAACCGCCCAGGAAACTGGTTTCGTTTATCCCAATCCCGGTCCCTGGCCAAAAACCGTTGAATCAATTAATGACCCATTGACTCGGACGGTTGAATCGTCGACTGTTGTCCCATTCAATCATTTTTTGTTGTTTCTTTTTTTTTTAGTTTTTGTTGTCATTACGAGCCATCTATTCAAACTGGGCAATCATATCATAAACCTAAAAAACAATGGCCATAACGCTTTTGTTTTCGAGTCATATGAGTCACACGCATGAATGACATAACATGTACGATACTACTTAATAGACTTCACACACTCAAATTTTTATCTGTAATTTTTGTTGTTAGAGCAGGTTGTCCGTTCGAGCCGAACGGTCGAACTGCCATTTTTATTTGGGAATCATCCAAGCAACCAGTTCCATTTTACCCCAATCCTGACCCCTATCGAAAAACCATTGAATCGGTCAACGACCCATTGACCCAAGCAGTTGAACCGTCGACCCAAAAACTGGTGGCCATAATGGTTCCCTTTTGTTGGTTGTATGAATCACACACTCGAATGACATAACACATATGATACTGCTTAATGGACCTCACACACTCAATTTTTTCCTTGTAATTTTGTTGTCAAAACGGGTCATCCATTCGAACTAGATAGTCGATTCGTTGACCCGAAATTGGTGGCCATAACGGTTCCATAATTTTTTACTTGTAAATTTTGTTATCAGAACGGGCCATTAGTTTGAACCAGGCAATCAAACTGTTGACTCAAAACTGGATGCATATATGAATAAGATCGATATTAATTTTGATGCTTATTGCATCAACAATCTGTCATCGACTACTTGTGTGGCTATAAATTATCTCGGGCTAAATTATGAATTTCAAAACATATCAAATTTGCTGAAATTTGGGTTGTTTAGGAAACCCACAATCTTTCCCTTGATTTCAACAACAAAAACATCATCATCGAATGTGATTCCAAGCTAATTATCAACACTTTAAAGAATTGTGTGGAATCTCGTGGAGAATGAGATTGATAATTGAATATTGCAATTCTTTGATCGAGATGATTGATGGTGAAGTTGTTTACTGTCATACCTATCGGGAAGGTAATTATGTAGCTGATTGGCTAGCTAAGGTTACACTTCTCCAATGTTGTTTCTTTTCCCTTTATTCCCAACTTTGTAAGAATTATTTATTGTTATGATAATGGGGGAGGTATTATCTCCCATCTTGTGTAGCCCCACATCTGGATTAATAAAAAAAAAAAAATTATTAGCATAGAAGCCATCATAACGAAAATCTATAATAACAATATAAATTATAATTTTATGGATTAATCAATTTAATAATTAAATAATATTTTCTATTTTAGAATATACTAAAATAACACAAGTTTAACATAATTCAAAATTAAAATATTATCTAAATATATTAATAATTAAATAACAAAATATTTAAATTGATAAATAATTATTAAAATTATTTAATATTATGTCAAACCATTAAAGTAAAACAAAATACTTTAAATAAAAATATTTAACATAACTAAATGTTAAATATTTAAAACAACAAAATTATGTAATACCTAACTTATATTTAAATTAATGTTTAAGTAATAAAACATATTAAATAATGGAAATTTGTAATAATTTTAAAATTTGTATTAACAGCATGAAAATAATTACAATAGATTTAACAGTATTTGATAATGAGAATATAAAATATAAATATTTTTGAAATAATGAAAAAATAAATAAATAATTTGAGGTTATTTAAGCTTCCATATAACAAAAATATCTAATAACTTACAAAAAGTATTTTTAACATATACTAAAATAAAATAATAATTACAATTATTATTGTATTAATAATAAAAACACTATTTCACATACATTAATTAATAATTCTATAAAATAAATCTCAAAGTATTTAGTATTTAATAATAATAATGTGAGAATCTTTATCTATATCTATTATATATTTATATATACTAAAAATTAATATTTATTGTATTTGTAGTAATGATTTATTGTATTTTTTGTTATAAATTTATTGTCAATAATTATGTGTTTTCATTGTAATAATATTTATTATAGGTTAAACTACTATTGAAGTTTATACCATTTATTGTATAATTAAATATATTTTTGGTATTTATTGTATTTTGTTATAACTTTATTTTTAATATTTATGTATTTTTTCGCTATAAATTTCAATGATTATTGAAGATTACACTATTGTTATTTATTAGATATTAGACTATTAATTTAACTTAAATTAATTACTGCCATTTTTGTATTGTAACAACATTATTAACATTAGCATACAAAACATAAACAAATATTAATTATTTTAAATAGTTAAAATATATACAAAAAGTATACTATTATGTGTTTCTACTATTTTCACATTCGCTTAACAAAACCCGTGCATCACATGTGTCCCTACTAGTAAATGTACAAAATCTAGGCCCAAGCCCAAAAATGTATGGATTGGGTGAGAGGTGATAACCCATATACATTTTTCTATTTTGCTCAGTTCTTTTTGCACAGAGTTTGGCTTTAGCCCCAACACACAATCTCAATAGTCATTGGGTTCATACATTAGAAATATCCACTTTGTCCTTCACAACGAGATGCTCCCAGTGTACGAAGCCATACAATTATTGGTATCAAATGAAACTCCCTTGCATGTGCCACATGAGTAGTGTAAATGAGAAAAATTTGCACATATTTCTATGTCATTTTATATTATATTATATATTATATATATTATAAAATGATACGTAATATGTTATGTTATATCTATAACGTATAAAAAACATGTGCTTTGCATGTGACCTTATACTGGTAATGTACAAAATAATTTTTATATACTTACTGTGTATGCCATGTAATATCAAACATTTTTACATATATGTAATTTTTATACATAAGAGACTATGCCTGAGTGTGGGGTCAGGCTTATGTTTTGGGCCCAATACTTGGATTGGCCCAAGCCTAGGCTCGAGCTATGGCTCTTACAAATGTTTAGATAATTGAACTTGACTAGTCGAATTGTGCAATTTGCCCATGACTAGTTTGGCCATACCCCCAAATTATAATGTGTTAAAAAATTGGCCAAAGCCATTTACCGGTCAATCCAACCAAAAAACATTGAAACCTATTCTGATTTGAAAAAAAAAAATTGATTTTCATAACTTTTTTTTAAACACATACAAATCTTTTGGGGTCATGAACTATGTACTCATATGTCCAATTTTGATGTGTTATTTTTTTTTATTTCGGACAATCTTTATATTATATTATGTATAACAAATCTATATCTATATATTAAAATTGAATGTGCCAAGTTGGCATTCTCCTACTTTATAGTTATTTTTGATAAACACTTATCATTTTTTATGGTTGTTTTTAAGAAGCACTTCATTTTA